GTCAATTTAATAGACTCGTGGTTTCTAGATATTTTAATGATATCTCTGCATATATATTAAATTGAGGTTTCAATTTTACTTTCTTACTAATTTTTACTCAGTTCAAAGCTCTGTTTTAATTAACGTAATCCTCATTTCGAGTGCACTAGTGTTCACTGCGATTAGACTTCAGTTTCAATTTCTACCTTAACTCATAATGCCTCATAATATTGAAATGAAAAAAAAAAAAAAAATCAAACCGGCATCATGAGACCTACTCCTACAGACTGAAACATGTAACTGCCGCTCAGGGTTTTAACCGGAGAGTTTTATAAAGTAGGTCAATTCAACCCTGTTGTCTAACCCTTCATCCTCTTACACATCAATGACATCAGATTATTGATTTCTGAAATGGTATTGTGATACATCAAGAGCACCTTGAGCGACACCTGACCCCTCCGTTAGTTCACACTGCATAAAAATGTGCGGAAGACGCAAAAGGAAGTTTAGAGATTCATTAATAAACGAGTTGTTTTCCTGTTCCAGTGCTGCCGACAATAATGTGTGAACTCCCAGCACCAAGCCCGACTGTCTGCCAATTTTCAACTCGAGGCGTAGACCACCACGGCGCCTGCAATTCACCATCGGCATGGATACGAGGACAAGAGCATGGAGTCGCTATTTTTGTCATTATATCTTTACCAGGGCAGATCTGTGGGGCCTCATCGGTGTCATTGTACAATATATATATATATATAAATATAAATATATAAAATAAAAAATATATAAAATGTTAATATTTAAAGGTTGTTTTCTCAAAACTTTCTGATGGACCACTTATTTTTATCCAACGTCAAGTCTGGTCCTCAGACCACCATTGACAGCCACTGATCTAAACAGACATCTAAGTCCTGTTTTCTCTAAGCACATATAACACTGTGATACATAACATATATTAGTAATTATATTAGAGTGATGTCACACAGTCATTTACAACTAATCCACGACCCTTATCCTTGATAATGGGGATTTTTGTTTTATATATATATATATATATAATTTTAGTCACATGCTTTTCAGGGTAATTATGTGGAAAACCCAGCAGCATGGGGCAGTGCTTAAGCTTCCTGTCTGCAGTGACATGGTGTGCTGGTTTACAGGAGGCTGCAGGATCTTGTCACCAGCTCTGTCATCACACAGAACCACCTGCTTCTTCACATTTCCACCCCAAATCAGATGAATCACAGCCTGCTGGATCTGGTACCAGAAAAACAAAAACAAAAACCAACTTGACAGGACTTGCTTTTATATAAGAAGTCAAGAGAACGTGTTTCTTTTTTTTTACTGATCTATATCATTTGTGGTTATTGCAGGCATAAGTCTTAATAAACAGCTACTACTGTAATGTGAGGCACAGATATCGGTGTAATTGCTGGTTTAAAGGTTTTTAATGATCTGTGGCTGATGAACAGACATGACAACTGAAGACGTTAATGTATTCAGTGCATACCAGTCTTGACCAGAACAGCATGTTCTCGGTGCAGCTGATGTCACCATCACCTCCCTCCAGGCAGTCACATTATCTGCACCGAATGTGGGCTTTTCAGACGCATGTGTACTGTATACTCCAAATACCAGCTTAAAAAACCTGCCCTGTAAGATACACGCTCTACTGACCGGGCTCTTATGAAATACTACAGGATGAGACTGTGACTCTGACCGGAACAACATGTTCCCCCTCTCTCTCTCACTGCTGATATTGTTGCATTCAGTAGAAGACTCGCCAACGTCACACATGCATTTGAGCCGAAGCGTCGCTCTGACCCCTTATTAAAATTGATGCCGTGCATTACATTACATTGCATTACATGACAACATGCTGCTTGTACATCACTTAAGCATCTAGCTCTCAGCAGGTCAGAGTCAGAAGCCCAGGTTTGATGGATATGTTCAGCCACAACAGTTACAGTAGCAGACCTGCTCCAATGCAACATCTTTGAGAGCATTGATCTTTAACTACTGTATCCTGGTTAGGTTTGAGGAAGTGTATGGCAAGGGATGGGGCACATATATACCTATATATCTTTAGAGTTATAGCATCTATGGCAAAATAAGTAAAACTAAATTAAAAAAATAGCTGGAGGTGAAAAAACCCAACATATAGAGTATCTAAAAGTCAGTGTCGAAAGAAATCTAGAAAAAAAAGTTGTTTTTTTTTTATTCAACATCAGCACAATTTAAGACAAAGTTTAAATCACAATATGTAGTGTTGGCTAAATGTTGAACATAAAACAAAGTCTGCCAAAAATAATATAAAAATGTATTAAGTTAAAAGAATTACTAAATGTTAAACTAAGGCTGTCCGGGATATTAAACATTTCGCTTTAGTACTTTAGCTTAGACAATGGTTAACTTTAGACGAAATAATTTAAAATTTGAAAGCAAAAAATATCAGAAGAACTGCCAAATTTAACCTAGAACTGCTAAATACACGCCTAAACATCGACAACTAAAGACTATCCCATATTCAGTTCAAGATCAGTTCAGAAGAAATGTATCAAACATTGGTTAAAATGGGGAAAAATGGAAATATCAGCATCAATATCAGAAATTACATAAGAATAAAAAAGATAAAATGTAGGTCAAATTCATTCAACAAACCCATGTGATTAAAATGAGTTGAAAAGAAAGAAAACAGAGGGCCACATAAACCAGTTTCAGTGCCACGACTGGGCCCAGTGCCATATCCTGAGCACACTGGATGGGAGAGAATCAATCAACACATAAAACGCTGTGGCACTTACACACATACTTGTATTCTCATAAATTTAAAATCCATCTGGGTTTTTTGCAAAATAAGCCATGGTTTTCTGGTTTTAATTAAAGTGTAGGAGCAGCATCACTGCATGAGGTCTCACATCCTCCCTCCTTTCTCCTCCTCCTCCTGTTATTTCACGGTCTGGACAATGGGTGTGCACAACAACGCCACCAAACCTCAAGTCTCATATTAAACATTAAAGTCGGTATAAATCTAAGCACATTACCTCCTTATTTGTATCAACAAATCGAATGCCACACGCACCGTCAAATTTAAATCAAAACCGGTACCAATAACGGTAGAGACCGTTAAAACAATGGTATCCACCGGCTAATGATGCTAACTGCTATGGGTACAAAACAAAGCATGCCCCCCACCCCACCTCCTAACAGGGAACCCACAAAATTTGAAATAAAAATATCGACAATATATATACACAGTTTGTAACATTAAACAATATACACACATTTAAAGAACACTGGTAGAAACAATAAGCGGTGCTAGGTTTGCTATGCTAACTAACGGTTCCGACAAGGGGCTGGACCGAGTATGCAGATTGTATTTGGGGAGAGTAACGCCCCAAATTATGTTTATCATTCATTATTGTCAAATCGAGTATTTTTTTCGCTAGTTGGGTTCATAAAAATGTAAAACGATAATAACAGTTAATATAACGTTTAGAAAAACGGATGTAATGAATGAGCCCGCAGCTGTTAACGGGGCTGCTCCCATCTCAACGTCCGCCGAGCAAGAACCACGAAAGCTCGAATGGAAAAAATTATCAATATATTTTTTCTCAACAAATTCACTCTAATAGCTGATACAGGGGGGTGAATTACGCTCTTGGGAGTGTATCGATGTATTTAAGCTTCACATGCTTGAGTGTCTACCATCAACAGTCCTGCTATTACTAGCTTAGCTGTAGCGGCTAAATGCTAAGTGCTATCTGCGGTGAAGCAGCGCCAGCTGACGCAAGTGCAGACATTTCCACCCAGCCAGGGTTGGTGTGGCTGCTGCTCCCACACCGAGCCCCTGACTGCCTGCCTGCCTGCACAGCTAAACGGATGCTGCACAGTCAGCCACCACCCACGGATCACATGCAAAATGCAAACCCACCAAAACGCTCTCCATGATCAGGTTTTCTTACCTCCTTAATCTATGCAAGATGATCGTGGGGAGGGGGAAATCAATCACAACACATGAATGTGGTAGTTTAGGCGCGCCCTTATCCTGCAGGACGTTGCTCTGGTATCCCCTTGTTTCCACACACACACACTCACACACATACACACACAATGACCAGGAAAAAAACCGCCCAGTAGCTTTGCACTTATCCACCCCTCCTTTTTTTTACTGCCTGCAGACCAATGAAGTCACTGTTGAGATCTAATGGAATTTCGGGATGTTAGCTGAAGAACAGAGCATCTCCAGCGCGATCTTCACCTGCGAACGACAAGCAGTCGACTATTCTCTCATCGTTTTTTCATTCAATAGATTTCTGTGACGACCGGCTACTGCACATGCGCAGAGGAGAAGTCAGATTTCATTTTCCCAAGTCTCAGATTGGGGATGGGTCTGCAGGGAGGGAGGGGAAGGGAAGGGGGCCGAGTTTCTCTTTATGGCTGCTTTGAATTCTTTAAAATGTAGATCGAATCAACTCAGCGACACTGTTTAGTTTACAGCGACACCCCGAGTTAACTAAAGGATATGATATTTCATTGGAAATCAAGATATTAATAAGACAACTTGTGATAAATATGTATAGTTCATACGTCATCCCGTCAACCAATGGGCTCATCCGGCTGTGCCCAAAGCCTGGTCTGGGGGCTAATTGGGGGACGAGGCAAAACTTTAACGTAGCCCACATTTCTAGCCCTTGTAGAAGAACTTTAAGAGCCAACGGCAGCTGTAAATCACAAAAGAAGGTAGTTTGAACGTGTAGAAGAACTTTACGAGCCAACGGCAGCTGTGAGTAAATCACAAAAGAAGGTAGTTTGAACCGTAAAAATAGTTAAATTGTCTGTTTCTTTCTATTGAATTACAGAGTAAACCAGACAAGAGGAAACAAGAAAATGACCAGAATTAGATTTTAGATTCTTCGTGTTACATAACTTACTTTTCCATGTTTCTCATGGTCGTTAAACCGTCAGCTGCTTTGAATTACACGTATACACAGTATAAACAACAACAACAGCCTGAGAAAATGACCTAGAGTTTCCAAAGGCTGTGAAACTAAAATATTTTTTTTTATTTTTTCTTTCAAATTGCTCATGTTGTTTGTTATTGTTTTTACAGGTAAATACTGTTTGCTTGACTTTTCTTTAAAACACTTTCCCACAAACATCTGTGATTAAAAATGAGCTGGGATATAAAGAACCTTTTACAGCAGGGGCACCCAACCCCCGGTCCGGGGACCGATGCCGGTCCGCAGGTCATTTGGTACCGGGCTGCACAGGACACAGTAAAAATGACAGATTTTTTCATTCAAAGATAATATTTCAAAACAGCAGGTCAAAGGTCATTCAGACTCTGATACTAACAGAAGAAAGAGGTTTGAAAGAGGTTTGATTTGGAAAATGTAATGATCCTTCAACGATGGCGTGGTATTACTGGTCCGCAGTAACGGCTGATACAGGCCGACTGGTCCATGGTGCAAAAAAGGTCGGTCACCGCTGTGTTACAGACATATTTACAGTAAAGATGAAGTTAAATGTGTGGTTATTCTTTTCACTGCGAGAAAATATCGGACACAAAACTAGATTTTTTTAAAAGTCTATTTTGTTGGTTGACTACTTAAACATATGAAGCTGTGTTGATGCAGTTCTCCTAAACTAGTTATCTAGTTAACTAGAATACAGATTATAACCAAGTCCACACAATAGTTCCAATAAATAGTTTCCTACATTTTTTATGACTTTTTTATGAGACGAAAAGCTTTCTTTTCCTGTTTGTACAAATGTTTTTCTTTGACCGGCGCTTGTGTTTCCTGTGAACCAACCCAGACTGGGGGGGGGGGGGCAGTTTTTCAGCTTACCTTTCTTGGGGGGTGGCTGAACTGCTGGTGGTCTCTCCTTGGACTTCTTCTGGACATCAAACGTGTTCTTCATCTGTGACACTTTCACACTTGACCCCTGCTCTGGCCCTCGTACCTCAGTCCCGACTCCTTCAGGTTTGGCTCGACCCTGGGGTTTCTGTGTTTGATTGGTTTTCCTTACGATTTCTGCCACAGGTTTGTAGGAGTCCATGTCATCGCTGAAGCCTGGGTCTTTGTCGGAACTGCGTTGAGTGACGTCGGCGCGGGCGTTCCTACAGACCTTCTCTGCCAAGGACTCAGAATTTGCGTCTCTTTTCTCCAACGCTGTCGGCTTTGGCCGTTGGGTTTTTACATCTGACGGAGTTTCTGTGGATGTGTCTGGAGTTTGTGGGTTTTTTGTGACAGCTGGAGTCAAGTTCTGACCACGACACCGTCTCTCGAAGAATATCCTCCTCTGCAACATGTCCAGATTTTCAAACTCTTTATCTGGAGACAGTTGTGCCATTCGTTCACAGTAGTCATAATCGATCATTGTTGCAAACTTGTCGTCCATGCGCTGGAGGGACAGACGCCGATTGATGTCGCCCGAGAGGCGTCGTACGTCGGCTGGAGCGATGCACGGCCCGCGCTCGTCCCACAGCGTGCACATATCCTGGTTGGTGGAGGCGTTCCATGGAAAATCCTTGTTGAAATGGAAAGTGTGTCTCCTCTTTGCCTTCTCCTCAGAACGCTGCTGCTCTCTGCTCCTTCGATGGACTTCTGTAGACTGTAGCTTAGCAGTTCGGAGCTTGATGAGTGGGTTTTTAGGTTTTTTGGGAACAGGTGGAGGCGGTCCTTTAACTCTGGCCTGTTCTCGTGGCACAGACTCTGAATCTGTCGCCGTGTCTTCCTCTGGCATCAGCTGAGCTGAAGGTTGTGGTTTGACCACAGAGTCGCTCGGGTTATTTAAACCCACCGTCTGAATATTTTCATCACAGCTTTCACTCACAGACAGTGAGTTGTCTGGCACTTCGGTTCTGTCACACGTGCTCTGCGACTCTGCCTCTTGTTCGGACTCTCTTTTGATGCTTGAATTAATTCCTGCTTTGGCTCTCTTCGACACGGCGCCAGCGAATCTGTTCAGACACAACGGATCCACCTGTGGTTTTTGGCCGAGGATTTCCAGCCCCTCCCGTGTCTGTGGATCAGAGGAAACTTCGTGGTAAAGTCGATTTTCCAGATCAACGTTTGATTTTCCCTGCTGAGAGGAAACCTCCTCCATGCTGCGGCCGTTCACGGTTCTCTCCCCGTCTGGCTCTCCTCTCCCAGTTGTCTTGGTGTGAACGGCTGCTTTTAGCTGACACCTGCTGCCTGCTGTCACTTCAGCCAAATGTCGAACTCTTTCACTCTGTGAACAGGCAGTGGGTGAACCCCCAGCACGTGCCCCCACGCCGTCATTCATCGCTGAACCTGTAGTCGCCGTTCGTCTGCGTTGTCTCCACGGTGCATTGTCCTGAGGCTCCTTCCTGAAAGTTGTTTGGAGGTTTTCATCATCACAGGCAGCAGACGCATCTTCTTTGATTCTTCTCTCCGTCAGTGAACGTAGATTCTCTGTTCTTCTCCTGTTGTCAGACTCATTTTCTCCATCAGAGGACGTCCAAGGCTGATCCTTCTCCAGAACGACAAAGTCGTCCTGAGTCACGTGAACGCACGGGTCTTTAGTTTTGGTTTCAGCACCAAACCTGCTGCTGGTTTCAGATTTCAGTCCTATTCCTGGCTCCTCCATGGCCGTAGTCCGACTGACGACCACAGCGTTACCTCTGGACTCCTGCTGTTTTTGTTGAACTTGTCTGATCTCTGCACGACTCTGGGTTTGGACTGGGTTTGACCCCCGTGCAGCTCCAGTGACCGTCCGACTTCTCCAGTCTCCACCCACCTGCTTCTCCTTGGTGTTGGGGCGGTGCTCCTGTTGACACAGAGGCCCGATTGGCTGTCCAGTTTGGGTGTCCGTACGTGCAGAGGTGACAGTGGGCTCCGCTCTGTGCCCAGTCAGTGGGCGACTGACGCTGATCCCACTAATCCCACCGAAACTCTCAGGCCTCGCAAAACTGCCATTGTCCTGATCTGTCACCACAGTCTCAGCAGAACCATCTGAAGTGTCATGTGACTCGTGGTCTTTTTCCGACAACCTCTCCGACAACTTCTGGCCCATGGCTCTAGTTCTGTCGTAACATTAGTGAAGGAGAAGAAGAAGAAGAAGAACAGGTTAAGTCCTAATTATAATGACAACACTGAGGGAGAGGTAGAACCTTGGACCTGTCTCACTGTCCCTCTGTCCTTCTGTCTCACTGTCTCTCTCTCTGTCCTTCTGTCCCTCTGTCTCTCGTCCTCTGCTCTGTCACAAAGGAATGTTGTGGTTGCTATTATTAAAAGTCTGACTGCTGCCACTGAGTCACTTGACCAAAAGAGAAACCAGACGGGTGAGATAAGAGGTCGCCTGTGAGATACAATGTCAAACAATGTCCAGAAAAAAAAATGTGTCCAGGAAACCAGTCTCCTGTTACATAATCACTTTTATTCAGGATTTAACATCTAATTCTGACAAACATGTCCCTCAGTGACAGCACGGAGACATCATGCACTGCCAATTACTGATCTGTGTGTGTGTGTGTGTGTGTGTGTGTACGTCCCTCCGTTCAAACTAACTCGGTGTTTACGCCTGTTTTGGTTACAGTGGAGACTGATGAAAGGTCACCTGAAAATACGTGACAGGCGTCACAACGGTACGGACGTTGACGAGAGCTGGACCGTGAACATGATGGATGATGGAGGAGAGATTACAACGAAGGGAAAACAGCTCAACGGGCTTCGAGGCAACACGCGGAGCTGTCATCAAATATCTGGTTTCATTAACGCAAAAGATTTTTCTGAATCTACATCGTGACTTTTTTTTAAATGGAATAAATATGATGTTTTAGTTCTATTCAAATTGAAATATTTGGCCTGTGAATCAAAACAAATCAACATCCCTTAACGTGACTAAAAATCAAGGATGTCCGATGTTATCGGACCGATATTAGCATATTATGCAATATCTGTAAGAATTGTTATCGTTTTTTTCTCCGATAATGAAAACTCGATAACGCAATGTCAGGGTTTCACCAAATGATGTGTGACCTAAAATTGTTTTGGGGAAAAACGGCTGTATATCAAAGTGAAAGCCACTAGATGGCAGTTACAGACTGTTAGTCACAGACTTACTTAGCGACTTGTTCTGACGCAAATCTCCTCCACAATCAGGGCTAGTTTTTATAAAATATTTCCATTTGTTTTCGACTCTCAGGACAAAACCACAAAGGGTCAAATTAAAACAATAATCCATGGTTTGACAGACATGAGCCTTGGTGTGTGTGTGTGTGTGACGTGTTATTTTTGGATGGATGTGTAACAGTGACAATACTAGGAGGCAGCTGTGACACTGGCTGTGAAAGTCCCTCCATTATTCTTCCTCTGGCTCAGCCATCATCTCCTGTCACCGTTGAACTCCTCTTACTCATCACTGTTTATCAAAGAACTGTCGGCCGAGAGCTCGACCAGTCAGTCCAAATATTTAAAGACTAATGGGAAAAAAAATCTATATTTCTGTAAAAATGCTGAATTTAGGTCAAAAATTACTGTATGTGTAAAAAAAATCTATATCAAAAGCTGATGCACAGCTTCCACTCAAGTTAGGTTAATAATCTGGGCTGATTTCAAAGTGTTTGAGTGTTGAAAATCTGATGAAACATTTAAAAACTACGGCCCGTTTGGCTTTTTAATGTGGCCCGCCAAAGTTGTCCAAATTATGTTATTAATTACTATTATTATTATACTTATTATTCTATATACTTCTACCTTTTTGCCTGCAATGCCCGCATTTCTCCAATAGATGGCATAGAAAAGGCCTTTTTAGCATTTTAGCCATGACATTTACAGTACGTCATTTGTATTTATACGAATAAACACTCTTTGCCTTTTAAATGACTATAATTTTCATTGCGGTTTGATGACTTCACAAAACCCTGTTATTAGAAACCATCCATCCATCCATTTTCATCCGCTTATTCGTTACCGGGTCGCGGGGGCAGCAGTCGCCACCCAAATCACACTGCACCGTACCAACCCCCCAAACCTTCCTGCAGGTGGTGAGTCCACTGGAAGGTACCAACCTCCCTAACCGGGATTTGAACTTGCCCAGGAGGTGAACCCTGGGGTTCCACACCAAAGACAGAGACATTGCCTCTGGGCCAAAGCGCCACTGTTATTAGAAACTTACGTCTTAAATATATTTTCAAGGCCATAAAAAATAAACTAAATCCAAGCTGCTGTTACTGCAGCATAGTATACAGTACCAACTGATACTTAGTGTAGAACGTGTTCTAAAGGTATTTGATAGGTAGGTCACATGCACGGTAGTAAAGTTACCCTAGAAACACAGCAGTAAAAGTTGTAGTTTAAAAGAATATTTAGAAACTTACTGGTGCAGATGTTTGTGGTCGACTCCCTCTCTCTCTCTCGCTCCTTCTCTCCTGCCTCATGATGTCGGCCTGACATCATTTGACTAATTCAATAAGATAATTCTCTGGTCAGGCTTTTAAAAAAAGAGTGGAAGAGTTGTTTGTCAGATGGAAACACAGAGCTCCAGATACTGAACTATCTCCATACTCTACTCACTCTACTACATTTTACACACATTAAATACATTCTCTTATCAAGGTTTAAATTATTATATACTGAACTTCTCCAACTTTAAAGCTTCTCCGTGTGTTTCCTTCTTTTACTTTCACTCAGTGAACCTATAACTGTCTGGGTTATTAAGATTCAGACAATTTTTTTTCAGTTAAAAGTTTCTACTCGCAGACGCATAATCCCGCCACATTATTTGGCGCAGTACCACTAGAAACCATGGGGGCAGTATTGTGTGGCCCTAATGGGAACAGCAAGTAAAAGACACAGAAAGAACAGTAATGGTGAAATAAACGAGTAAAGTTCTCCGTTCATATACCGCGCTGTCGTTAATGGCTGCACAGACAACCATCTCCGGTACTGTCTCGGTTTGGAACTGCGTCTGAGCAGGACGACCATAATGACGAGCTCCTCCACCGGCGCCATCTCTGTTATTGTCTGACAAACTGTCGTTCGCCTGGAAACGAACTCTAAACTTAGCAAGGCCTTCTAGCTTACGTACTGCTGAACAACGATGCCGAACAGACGTACCGATTTACTGCGCTGACGTAAAAAGCAATACACGGAGCTTAAACTGACACTGGAGACAATCATAATAGTCACCAGTTGAGGGCGGTCCGTCACCGCGCCATAAAGACACAAACATCAATATCTGTAATTAGCAGTGAACACTTGAATGACGTAGTCTTTATATGACAATACTGAAATATTAATTTACTTATTGTTATGCATATATATTTTGATTTTAAAACTACAAAATTAAAAATACAGTATCCTTCGTTATATCATCCTAAATGCCCTACAACTGATCTATTTAATGAGTACGACATAATTCACCGTGTGCTAACATATATGGAGGAAATGGTTTATTTCCGTGATGGACAACATCATTTAACAAAATGTAAAAAAAAGTGCATTGCAAACCAACATCAACAATGTACAGTACAGAAAAATCAACCAAAAAAACAAAAACAAAACAAAAACTGCCGTTTAATACTTTCTCATACAGTAAACTCTGGGGCTGCCACCCTGAAATTACAACCCGACGTCACTCCATTCCTTCACGTCAGGCCATTGAAAAGGATTGTCAGCTTGAGGGCCTGGAAATAATAATAATAATAATAATAATAATAATAATAATAATAATAATAATAATAATAATAATAATAATAGTTTTAAAATTTTCTTGAGCTTTGAAAACAAACATTCTTCTATGACATTTTCAACGGTGCCAAAAAAAAAAACCACAACAAAAAAAACAGAAGAGCTTAGAATATAAATATTCTGTAGTACACAGTAGCATTTATCAATATTTGACTAATACTGAACACATCTGCAAGCTCGTGTACTCCATAGTAAACTTCAGAGGAAAATATGTACAGACCGGTAAATGTCACAGTCGTGGATCCTCCCACCGTCTGGGCTGCGTCTTTGTGTCAATAATAATAATAATAATAATATTCCAGTGCGTTCTGTTCTTCAGCAGCTGTGAACCAACAGAGTGGACCACAGGTTTTCAACAGGAGCAAACAAATACAAATTTAATTTAGGCTTGAAATGAACGGAAGTCCTTAGAGAGAGAGGGGGAGACGGGGCTTCTGTGCAGGAGCGATGGTGTGTGTGTGTGTGTGTTTTGCATACATTATATTCCACTACGTGCCAACTTTGTGTGTGTGCCTTTGACAGAGCGTGAAAATGAGGGTTTGTTACTGTAACGTTTGAAAAAAAAGCAGATAAAAAACACGGTCACATTAAATTCACAAAGCCCATGATGCTTTGCAGCAACGGCTGGGGTTAAGGCACTTGATGCAAACACAAATGCAACAAAAGAACTCAAGCAAAAAATAAATAAATAAATAAATGGTGCGACCGAATCCCTCCTCACTTGGCCCACTTGAACCCACAGTGTTTAGTGTTTAGGATTTCAGCGGCCCAATTCTAGTGTCCAGAACGTCGGCAACATCAGTTTTGTGTTTTTCCTCCATGGACAACAACCGAATCACAGCATCAATCAATCTGAAGAACCTGTGTAGAACAGGAACTTGGCGGCGGACTTGGTGACAAATCAGTATATTAGTGTGTTTAAACAGGACATGAAAAGGCTGTAACCAACATTAATCACTAGTGGGTGCTGGTGAGAAACTTTCCTGTGATTTTTTTCTACTGTATAATTGTTACATTTCGATCATTCGGACAAACAATAAGAACAGTTTTCTGGCTGCTCAACTGTTACTTTTTCTGTGTAGGTAAAGTTGTCAGAACTTTAAAAGTGAAATGTGCCATGTATTGTGTGAACGGATACTACTGCAGAGTTGTGCGTGTGGCTGGAACTGTACATGACGGATGTGCCTTTTTAAATATTAGTGTGCTTAAAATGAAATCTTAACTCAAACATTATCATCACAGCCTCTGGAAATAAAACCTGGGTAACTGAACATGGAGACAGGGACAGTAATAATATACTCTACCACTAGGTAGCAGCAGCTCTGGAAACAAAAACAGAAAAAGAAATGGAAGAAAAAATTGCTTCGTGACTTTCTTAAATTTCCTGCGTGTACATCAGTGTTGTGTTCAACTAAACAGGCTGAGCTCAAGTAAAAGTAAATTCTGAGTAAATTGGAACTAAAAGATCATTATATTTCATTCCTTTTGAGGAGATTTTACTAATGTGAAATATGTGCCTTGGTTTGAGAAGGTTGGAAAACACTGCTCTAAATAGAACAACAATAACAATAATAATAAATATAATATATGTTTCTAGACTTCTGAGGATTGTTTTTGTGCCATAGCATGATAAGGACATGTGCCGTAACCGTAGTGAAACTAGCGCCACATGTTGTCTAAGGTCAGTATGAACCAGCCACTGAAAACAACACAGGACCAAAATAGTCCAAGCTACAGATCGGTACCATGCTTCGTGTATGTAGATACAAAAATAAGAACGCTTCAGTTTTTTGAAAAAAAAGTCACCTGTTATGATGCAGAAGCAGCTGCAGCAGCGAGAACAAAGAAAGCCAGGCTGACAAAAGTGATTTGTTTTTCTGTGCTAACACGAGGACACACTGACTGAAAAACCTCCGACCTTCGTCCAGCTGCTCTCAGAGTCTTCATGAGTCAGAACCAGACAGAAAACCCACAGGTAGATCTGGGAGGAACCACACCCAACCTCTCTGAGGAGGGGGTGAGACTTCAGTGTGAAGATCCTCGATCCTCAAAGTGACGTTGCGGAAGAAGAACGGGCCACAGTCTGATCCACTGGACTAGAAGAGAACCAGAGAAACCCTCTGGTGTCAGTTCATTACAGTAGAACCTAGAACCTGGACATGGAGGTGTCCACCACAGTCATCTGACGGCCATCTTCCTCAACCTCCTCTTCCTCCCCCGTCCTCCTCCTTCTTCACGTCTCCCCACCAGACCCCAGGACTAATTATCCAAACTTTGCATCAGTTCCAGACTAAAATCTACCCCCAGACCTGGAACCGGGAGCTCCACTTCCTCAGTGGCAGCTCCGGTGGCCCCTGAACCTCCTCCTAAAACGTGCAGGTCTGAATTGTCCGCCTGCGGTTGGTCCATGTCCTCTGCCTCCACTGAGCCACAGCCTGACGGAGTCTCCTCGCAGCTCATGGGTGACACCAGTTTCTGGGAGCCGTCTAACGGTACAGAGGGGACACCTGGGCCACACGTGGCACAGTGGTACAGTGGGTGAGTACTGGGCTGGACCAGAGTGTTTGGGACAACTGCAGGCAGGAGCGGAGTGGAAGCAAAGTTGGTCCCGGGTGGATCGATGCAAATGGACGGAACAGTGCAGTGACGAGAGGGGTTGAAGCGGTGGGAACGGCCCCCTGCTGGACGCTCGCAGCGCCGACCCTGTGGCAGACGAAGGCAGTCTTTACAGGACTGGTAGGAGGGCTTCACTTTCAAGGGGTTTCCTGTGGTGGCGCTGTCCTGGATAGAGAGAAAGTGGAAAAAGAATAGAGTGAGGTCCGACGTCTGACAGTGGACACGTGTCCTCAAGGTCAATACTTACGTCAAAGGCTGCTGGACAGCTGCGCTTCGCAGCGAGACGGTTGCTGTTGTTGGTGTTCAGGTTTGCCAGGCCCAGCCGACTCTCCTCCGTCCCCTCAGCCTCCTCCCCCGTCCTCCTACCATCTGAACCTCCGGGAGTCTGGGCCAAAGCCGCCATCTCTGCTTCCTCTTTCTTGGCCTCCTCCTCGTCCTCCTCCTCCAGCGTACTGAACTCCAGTCTCAGCCTCATGTCCTCCAGGGGGTCGAGGCGTCCGCAGGTCTGAGCGGCCGTTCCCTCACCAGGAAGTGCTAAATGTGCCATGGGGAAGCCTTCGTCCTCCAACAGGGCGTCCCTCTCCACGTCTTCGATCTCAATGAAAACTCTCTCCATACCCAGCAGGGGGGGTCCACGCACCGGGGTGGAGGGCTCACTGTCCAGAGCGGAGTCGGACAGACGTCTGAAGTAGTAGTTGTAGTTCAGACAGTCCAGCGGTTCCATCTCCAGACCCATCCTGCAGGGAGAGGCGTCACAGCCCCCCCAGGCTTCGTCCTCTCTGGACACCGGCGTCTCCTCTCCACCAGTGCTGTGACCAGACGCCCGCAGATCATCTGACCCCTCCTCGTCTGTCTCAGGCCTCCACAGCTTGTTGTGACGCTGTTTACTGTTAAAAACAAAATTTGATCTTTAGTAGGGATTGAACTTTTTACCAGTTAGTTAACTGTAAGTTAACTGTCGTCTTTTCACTAAGGTGATGGGTTAAAACAGTGTTTCTCAATTATTTTCTTCCATGCTCCCCCTAGGGGACAGTTTTTTCACTACCCTGGTAATATTTATTTATTTATTTATCAGTTCAAACCACTGTATGAGTTCCTGACACCAGCATTCTCCAAACAATCCACAGATTATTAAAATAAATTAATAATATTAGCTGCAATGCTGCCATCTAGTGGCTTTCACTTTCATATGCAGCCGTTTTTCCCCAAAACTATTTTTAAGGCACACATCATTTGGCGAAAAGCAACACGTTATTAAGGTTTTCATTATCAGAGGAAAAACCGATAACCACAATAATCATTCTTACAGATATTACATAAGTATGCTAATATCGGGGCGATAATATCGGTCACACGATATGATCGAACATCCTTAATCTTTAGTTTAAATTTACAGATGCACTGATCTAACGTTAACATTGTAAACTGGTCCGATGTTGACTCGATGGTACAGTACCGATCGGTTTACTAAAATCCTCTGCTGTTTGAACCCCTCAGGGACGGAGACCTGCTCACCTGGCGTCCAGGATTCCCTCGTACTCAGCCAACTGTCTCATGAAGGCGGTGTTTGGTTGAGCTATGCTGCGTTTCTGCTTGACAAAGTTGTAGGCCTTCTCCAGAGACCAGCCGTACTCTTTCATGGCGTACGCGATGACCGTGGAGGCAGAGCGGCTCACCCCCATCTTACAGTGCACCAGGCATTTGGAACTTTTCTTCCTATTGGACAAGAAGGACCAGACGTTGTCATGTCATATTTAATCAACCCTTCACCGTCCAGTCACTGTCCACTGTCTTTTACAGTGTCTTTTTTACTGTCCTTTACTGACTAAATACAACGATAAACCTTTAATAAACCAGATGTATTTAGATAAAATACATTTAAATACATTTTTTAATATTTAAAACTCTATGTATATGTGTATATAAATACATATTTATATATGTGCATGTATATATACACATGTACATATATGTGTATGTACACCGTATGTGTGTAAATATATATACATATATAAAGAAATATGGCTATATACAGTATAAATATATATTTATATTAAATATGTATGTATATATCATAAATACATACATATATAGATATATGTGTATGTATGCATATGTATAAGGACATGTACTTCCTACTATATGTATATACATATATTTATATACTGTATATAGCCAAAATTCTTTATTGCCATATTTGTTGTATGTATATATTTATATTATGTACATATATGTATGCATATGTATAAGTACATATACTCCCTCAGAGCATGGGGCTACCTTTTGTGTATGATTTCTGTTGTTTTATTAAAAAAAAAAAAACAACAAAGAAGTATTGAACTTGAACTTAACAAAACGACACGACAGAGTAAAAACTGTTCACAGTACAGTGTAACAGACAAACAGTACCAGCAGCAGTACTTTGTGTATTTCTATATTCAAACAGCCTCCTTTAAAATAATGCCTGAACTGTTTTTACTCCTGTTTTGTTTTTTTAGGGTGAATTCTTACAAGGTTACAGTGGTTGGACGGTTGCTTAGCAACAACACTGGCTGCATCATTCCAGCTCCTTCTCTCTCTCTCTCTCTGTGTGTGTGTGTGTGTGTGTCTCCTTGTCTGGCAGAAATCACAGCAGGAGAACGTGTCGTGTGTGTGACCACAGCTGAAGCGCTGGGTGAGAACTCAGTACATGAACTGAGATGACTCAGACATCCTTACATGTCCAACAGCGCCATCTACTGAAACGGAGTGATTTTGACGAGCTTGTTCAGGTTGCATATTCAAGGCACAAAAAAAATTTGAATTTAATTTACAGAAAAGAAAAAAACGCTGTTGCTACAGTCCACTGCAGGGATAGGCAAACTGAGGCTCAGGGACCGGATACAGCTCATTCAGCTTTGTAATCCGGCCGCCAAACTTGTCCAAATTATATAATTGGTTGGCATCGTGATTATTCTTCTGCATTTTCCCTGCAATGCCCATATTTTCCCTATAGATGGCGTAGCATTTTAGCCTTTGTGCATGACTTTTACATATAATCCCGGCACAAGACCAGGATTATCTTTACAGTCTCACCTGGCTTTGACGATAAAGTTGTAGGTGTCGTTCCAGTGGGACAGCAGGTCGGTGTCGTCCTCGTCGTAGACGCGCACGTTGTGATAGGAAAACATTCCTGGAAAGAAGTTGTCGATCTCTCTGGTTACGTTCAGGATGTAGCCCACGCTGGAGACCAAGACATCGGTACATGACGTCTCACTTTTAGTCCATTATTTGACCCGAGCATTGTTCAAACACATTGTCCAAAACGTACAGTGCTATAATACGTAGCTAGCAGAAATACGGGTTTTCCAAATTAAGAGTCAGCAACGTTTACAAAATTTCCCTCCTGATACAAGGAAACTCCAGTATTTTCCACTATGTGGCGCTGTCTCGCTCACTGTCCCTCACTGGGTTATTTTACCCATTTTTATAACAATAATATAAAATGTTTTCTTAATTAATATTATTTTATATGATCAATATACTTGTTTATATCTATGTTTTTGATGTTTAGATGAAGGGGTTAATTTAATTGAATTAATAAATAATATATTTCTGGGGGGGCTGGAATTAATTGTATGTCTAAATAAAAATAATCAGATAATTATTAAATCCTTATAAAGTTTGAACTTTGAACTCACCCACAGTCTCGCAGCTCTTCCAGATTCGAAGCGTTCCACTCAGAGCCCTACAGAGGAGACGACACCGTCTGTTTGTTTTGTTTTTTGTGTTTTTTTTTACTCACTCATTAATTATACCCTAATTGTGTGTAACATTAAAAAAGGCTGAGCAGTAAAAGTACTCACCAAGTAGAGGTGGTCAAAGATAGGGGTGGCCTTGTCCATCTGGCCCAGGATCAGCAGCATCTCGTTGTCTATGAACTCTTTGTACTCTTTCAGGTTACAGCTCATGTGCTGCTCCAGCTTGTTACGGATCTGATCAGACAAATTAACGCTCGTTAAAAACATCAATTATTCTAACGAAGGTTCACACGTGTGATCCTGAAGCGAATGTGAGGGAGAGTCAAAACGTTCTAAGACGGTGAAATGTCTCCGAAGGAAAACACCAACCGGTGAAGTGTTTGGACCAGGGGTCACCGACCTTTCTGAAACTCAGAGCTACTTCAAGGACACTCAGTACATTGTTTCCCAAAGACTGGGTCGCGACCCTCAGGTGGGTCTAGAATTGTTTTTGAGTCGTCTTGCATCATGTTTCCCAGGAGTTTACGAATAATTTCTATTGTTTTGGGTCGTGAAGATTTGTGACTTTTAAAATATGGGTCCCCAGAAAAAAAAGAAGTTTGGGAAACACTGACTCAGTAAACCAAAAAACTACTTCCTGAGCAATGCCATAATAATCAGTTCTGTGACAGACATAGATTTGAATATCACTGCGAGTGGAACCGATTCAAACAGCACAGTAACAGTACCATTTTTGACCCTCTTGTTGACTAGGTTTATTTTTAAAAACATGACCTGCGGGGACCTTGGGTACTCCACAGGGGGGCTACCAGGTGACCCCCGTGGCACCACGTTGGTGACCCCTGGTTCAGACTTGACTGTGTTATATTTACAAATTCTGTCTTACAACTTTTCGACTGTTCCTCCGTCTGTTGAACCAAAGCGTACCTCCTTGGACGTGATGTTCTCCAGGTCCTGAAACGTCATGATGTTGCGTAGCTTGGCCTTAACGAGACACTCCGTTCTCTCTCGCTCGGTCGGCCTGCACACACGTTGTCAGTACATCAGTACGATTCTTTTTTATTTATTTATTTTTTAACGTTTGTACACGTGAGGAGGAGTCGACATCTCACCGGTCCACAAACATGGTGGGTGAATCAGGCCGCGTGGTCTCCAGGTCGGTCATGGTGTTCCACTCGTTGATGAAGCTTTGCTCCGACGTGATGCAGCTCTCGTAGAAAGAAATCCAGGTGAGAGCAATGCCCCCTGGGAAGTAGTTGAATCGACGCGACACCTCACATGCTTTGTGGAGGACCTGCAGTGCCGACCTGTGACACAGTTTTCTACTTGTTATATAAATAAAATATATAAGTGATCTGACAGAGTGGGTGTCATTACCAAAATAAATAAAAAAATAAAAAGTTGTTTGACTTTTTAAAAATAGCAATTCTTACAAGTGACCAGCAGGTGGCACATTGTGACAAGAAGACGCTGACATGGCCAAGAAGTCGGACAGCACCGACGTGACGACAGGGCCATCTTAATACATGTAACGTCAACAGCGCCATTTTAACAGAACTTTCGCGGGCATTTGCGGCGCAGGTTCTCCATCGAGTAACAGCTTTAACCCAAACGTCTGATAAAATCGAACAGCTATAAAATAATAATAATAATAAAGACAATGAAATTTGTCACGTTATTGTGACGAAGGTTACTGTCATGAAACTGGATCTATGATATTTATGTGAGGAAAAGTAGGACCTGTTGTTTTTCTCTGGGCTGTGACTGACTTTCAACCAACGCGCAGGTTTCAATCACCCTCCTCTACGGATAAAGTCATGATGAAAATAGTCCGAAAAGACGAAGAAGAGCAGCTCTAGTCTACGACTGAAGAAGCCGGTGGAGGGATATGTAGAAGGAGACTTATTTAATTAGACTACGTTTTAAATTAGTCAAACATAAATAACAAAAACGAGTTCTGCTAAAACCAAGACCAACTGGGGAAATGGTTACTGGATTAACTGGTCTGTGCACCCCCAGAGTGGGGGAGAACAACACTCCCACTCACACAATCATTTCATACACGGTGGCACCTGCAAGGCAGAAGGTTCTGGGTTTGAGTCCAACTAGTACCCAATCACAGGCAGGGCTTTATTAGAGTTAGGACTAGATCAATAATTCAATAATAACTTAAATAAAAATATTTGTAATTTTTTAAGTGGTGTTTTCTGATGTATGTGGGGACAAACAGGTCAAAGAACTGCAAGAGACGAAGGAGCAGAGCTGTCCTCACCACATGGCCTGTACAGAGACAGGCTTGAAGACATGTGACCTCCCCGCTGTGTTCACGCTGAAACCTCTGGAGGAAAAAAGAAGAAGATGAGGATGAGGAGGAGGCGGAGGAGGAAGAGATGTAAACACAGACTGGACAGAACCCGGACTCTGAGGCCACAAACCAGTGGAACATTCCTCCAGTTTACAGCCACAGAGGCCAGGTTAACACGTCAGCAAAACTGATGTTAGGAGAAAATGCATGTAGTTTACTTTTCCACCACTGATCGGCACTAATTCCCCAAATACATAAAAACAACCCACAGTTCTACTTTGTAAAAAAATGCATCAAATTTGGTTAAAAAATATGGTCTCTGCTGTAATTTCTAATTAGTTCATATTTAAAGGTGGAAAAAAGTTAACATTGCTCAGGAATTGACAGAAATGTATATATTTTTGTGATTCTGTGTAAATCTCACAGATCACTACAAGCTAACCAGAATTTAAAAAAATTAAAAATTAAATTAAAACATGATGAGACCATATCAAACGTACCCATCTCCATCTAAATGGATGTTGGTGTCGCTCCACAGCGGCAGCACCATCCCAATGGAGCAGTTTTTACTGAGGGGTCAGACAAAAATAATATATTAAAAATGAATGAAATTAATATACTGAATATATATGTGAATATATATGTGTGTGTGTATTTGAAGCTGCAGCAGCCTGTGTCCTCACCTGTCCTTATCTGTAAAGTCCATTCCCACCACGATATTTTCCTCTGTGTCTTGATGACCGTTGGTGTAGATCACAACCATGTAGCGTATGCGGTCCGACCAGCCGCTCTCTAAACGCACGGCCTGTTCACCGAAACCAGCTCAAAATTTCAAATTTTATTTGTCAAATTTTATTTGTCACACATTCAAAAATCAGCATCACAAAATATGGGAATAAATAAGCAAACAACCTAAGAACATAACAGCCTTTAAACTAACACTAATAAAAATTTAAAAGTTAAAATGTTAATAAAAAATATAGTGTGTACTGTACACATGTTGGGTCAGTGTTAGGACAAAGTAACCAAAATGTTTATATATACAGTATGTTACTTATGATATTGAGATTTAAGGAGGCCAAAATAGAGTTATCCTAAAGACAGACCTCACTTATACACCAGTAATAACATTTTAGACACAAAATGCTGAAATGCTAAACACAAAATGCTAAAATGTAGACCACAAAAGCTAAACAATGTACCTAAAATGTAGACCACAAAAGCTAAACAATCGGAAAGCTAAGGGAAAGCTAATCATTGCTAATAAAAGTTAGCCAAGACTAGCCCAAGAAAATGTGCAAAATTAGTTAGAATTAAGCAAAACTACAGAAAACACCTTCACATTAGACGACATGTAAAACATCTAAGCCACAAATATCTAAAGATTAGCCAAACAAATGCCTAACCTTAGGCCAAAATTGTTATTTAAAGCAGGTTGGAGGTTAGCCAAAAAGTGAGCTACGAACATAGTAGTGACAGTGAGGATATACAGGAGTAGGTAAGAATCACTGAAAAGTAGCTAAAAATTATATAAAAATATCTACAAGCTAAAAAATAACTTGAATTAGCCAAAATGGAGTAGCTAACAACACAGAACAGCTAAAATAAATAAAAAAAACTATTATTTTTAAATGGTACAAAATAACATTAAACTGTGTTTGTGCTTTTTTGCAAATTATGAGATAAAATTTGTTTTTTTGTTCTATAAAAACAAAGAGCTAAAAATGCTAATGCTAAGACAAAAGGACATCTTACTAACCAGTTTGATGCGGTCTTCAAAACGGAGGATCTTGAACATGACCTGCAGGTGCTGAGGTAAATCCCCTGAAAGTAAAGACATAAATGAAAAAACAAAACAAAAAAACATGAGAAACATTGAAGATTTATATTTTATTTTACTGGTATTTTTGTAGTTTTCGGCCAATCAAAAGACACAAGAGTTAAATCAGTTCAAAATCAGCGTCGACGTCAAAGATCCTGACAACGTAAATGTTCCATGATCCATCGATAATTACCAGGATGTGACTAAAATCCACATGACAATAGAGACGCTTCACCACCGATCTGCTCCGACTGAACTCTGACATAAAAAAACCCAAAAAAAAACAAAAGGCAGCAACAGAAGTGAGCATTGATCTCCTGTTCTCTGAGCTGCCTTTGTTTTCGTTCCCAGTGGGAGGAGAAATGTTTGCAGATTTCTCCGATTAAAACTGAATGAATTCTAGATCAGGAATTTGAGTCAGTCCTGTCTGAGTCACCGTGTAAAGACTCACTGTCCGAGACTGACCGAGACTGACCAAGACTGACCGGACGGGGATGAAAACTCCTGAGTTGATTTGGTGAATTAGGGCGTGTTTTTATTTAAGGAGGGAAGTCAAAAAAAACTAAAACAAGTAAAAATTATATTTTTCTACATATGACTAGGAACAGAAATCTAGTTCCTTTCAGTCATATATTTAACAAAATGTGGTATGTATAAGTTTTTTAAAAATTATATTTTTTTAATTTGAGAGATGTGTTATATTTAATATATTTAATTGAATAAAAACTGGGACAAATTTTGAAATAAAATCATTCTTTGAACTTTCTGACCCAGAAATGGCAAAAGGAAAACAACAACAACTAAAATAATATTAATAATAATTATACCACCGTCAGTCTCTTCCTACCTGCATGTTTGTGGTGTGTCGGTGTCTTGGGTTCCTGTGCAGTGCCGCCCTGCTGGAGGAAGAGGGCCGCACCTTTGACCATGAAGAAGCTCTCACTGAGGCTGAAAAACAGCAGCAGAAGGAGAAGAAGGAGGAGAGGAGTCAGAAAACACAGGTCAGTGGACGTAGTCGTCCAGGCGACGCCCAATCAAACTCCAGTGATCTGGAGTAAAGACACACTGGACAGACCACCGGTCGGTCCACGGGCCTTATATAGAGACAACCAACAATCACAATGACAAATGACTGCATTTACGTATCGGTATTGGTTGATATCGGAATCAGAAATTAAATCGGAGAATATCGGCATATCGGACATCCCTAAAAATATAAAAAAAAAATAAAGCAATACTTATTGTTATTGTTTTGGTTCATTCATATTAAACTATTTCATCGCAGTAAGTCAAGGTTAAGGTCAAGAACTTTGACCTCTGACCTGAAACGACTCAAGTCCAACTTTCTACATTCAACAAATTGACAGTTCAAAAGCCTCCGATTCAGATTGACCAAAGTCAAAGTAGTTTCACTCTGAGGGGTTTTTCTGTTGCCATAACAACCACCTTACGTCAAACAATAAATAACAATCTGGGAAAAAACGATCGGAAGTCTTACAAGCGGCAGATCTCCCTCCGAGTCAGAGTAGCTTCCTCCGCATAGTGAGGCAGAACCGTGAACATGGTCCTGTGTGAAGGTCTCAGCACCAGATGCATCCTGACGGCTCTCCTCTACAGAACTGTCTAAACTAGAAAGAACCTGCGTCCACCCGGAGAACCCCAACCCTGAACTTTGAACACACACACACAGGTTTCCACAGGAGTCGACTGAACTGTGGCATCCTCCTCCTCTTCCTCCTCCTCCCTGGTGTCTCCTCTTCACAGCTCGTGCCGCAGCACTCGCAGCCTCTCCAACGCTGGGCAACAATACCATCATTCATGCTGGGAGGCGCTAAAAATGTGTCTTGGCATCAGTCGCCGGTCTGACCCGCAGAATCTGTGGAATAACTCGATGCTGATGAATCACCGAGCCACAGAAACGTGTCGGTTGTGGAGACAAAGTATGACACGAGTGTTTGAGCTGCGAATGACCCTCGTCACCCCGACACGACAGATCGTTTCCTCTGTGACGTCGTCCTGGTAAAAGACGACTTTTGTCATCAGAGCTGAAGCAGCTGTGAGTTCAAACTCTGTTAACAACACAATCGTCTAGTAGTCCCCAAACCCTGGGCCGTGGACCGGCACCGGTCCGTGGGTCAGTCGGTATCGGGGCCGCACAAAAAAAATGCATAACTCCATTATTTCCGTTTTATTTTTTTTTTTTATCTGATTGTGAATGATGATTTATTTTGAAAAATGACCACATTCCTGATACACGTCAAGACGCTTGACTCGGTCACATGACTTGCCTATATCCGCTACCTTCTTGAAGGGTCTGCTCCGGTCGGTAACACATACTACATTACCGCTACATTGAAGCTAGCAAAATGAACAGGAAACACACGTCTCATATAAATTTGAGGTTCACCTCTGTTATTAAGACACTGAACTGATCCATTCAAACTGTTAGCTACAACATTAGCTCCACCAAGTACCAGCCCCTGAAAATACTTGTCACTCCAGTACCACAAGTATGTGTACCATTAATATACACCACCACACACACACACACAGTGAAGAAGACGCAGAAACGTACAATAAGTTAATCACCTAATCCCAACAGAAGTCATATTCCGCCGAGGACCACCAGAGGGAGCCCAAGTACCACAAGTGGTACCGATACCGACGTTTAAGAACCAATAAACTAGACAACAGAATAAAACAACGGTCTACAGCTTAAGGGTTGTTCAACATCATGGTTTGATTTTATATCATAATATATTTTTTTTTAAATACCAAAACTAAAACCAAGAACGATACTAAAAAGTTGTGGTGACAAAGGAATTTGGTTTTTTACCTTTGGTTAGTTTTCCGGTCATCATCACTTCCAAAATCCTGGAAAAGAACAAAAACAAATCGATTTCAAACACTCCGTGAAGTTCATTTGAAGGTTAACGAGTGAAAGCACAAGGAAGTTATTACGAAAATCTAACTTTCCTGTGATCAAATGAGTACCTAGGTTCTGTAGAAAACAGCACCATCTGCTGGTCGCTCACTATCTCACACATTCCCTCTTTATCTCCCAGCTCGACTAAACATGACTCATCTGATTTTTTTTTCACTGTAGTGACTGTTAATTCCTGTTTGCCGCCACTTTGTGTATGACGTAAACAAGAAGATTATTTATTTAATGTTGAGATATTTTTACTATATTTTCACCTTGAATCTCAGCTTTAGCTGCAATTACCTTTACTCGTTATTTGTAACTACTGTTGGCACAGCTGTATAGATTTAAATTATATATATTATTACAATATAAAGTATATATATTTCAAATAATTAGCCATCTGAGCTACAATAACACCTCGTTCTTTCTACATTGACATTGTCCTTTTGTTTTTTAGTCTTTAACAATAGTTAAAATAGTTTCTGGTCATCAGTTAGCCTTATTTTCAGGCTAACTTTAAAGTTGGTCATATTTAATTTTGTTTATATATTTTTTCCCTATTTTAACTATTTCTGATTCTACGTTTTAGTTGTTGGTTGGTTTTATTTCACTATTTCTTTTTTTTTTTTGCTAACTAATGTCTATTTCTGGAAGTTAACATGCTAACACGTTGGACCAAAGCCAAGTTATTAATTTAGCTGGAAGTTAAAAAAGAAAAACACAAGAAAAACAGACAAGACAAACAAAGTAAAACAGGTCAAAGAAAAACAGTTAAAGTACAGTACACTGAGAGAGAGAAAAAAGAAAAAACTAAAGACATGAAAATGTTTTAAAAAACAGTACAACTGTACAAATGTGAAAAAAATCCCAGATGAAGCTAATATATGGAGATGCTCATATATATATTTTTACAATATTTTCTCTATTGAGAAATGTCACTGTGGGTAATTTGACTTATTTCCAGTACAGTTTAATAATATTTAGACTAGCATATAGTCGTCTTCTGACAATGTTAGCGTTGTTACTCGCTGATTTTATTGCTATTTTGTTTGGTCCTTTTTATGCTAACTTTTAGTTGTGTTCTTGTTTTAAATTTAAAATTATTACTTTATATCTTTAAAAGTAACCTTTCCTTTGTCTTACTTTAAATGTCCTTCATGAACAACACCTATAGCCTCTGAGTTTCATGTTTTAAATATTTAGTTAAGGCTAATATTTAGCTACGTGTTGGCTAAGGTTTAGCCTCTGGCCTGGTGAGACCGGTTTGAGTCTCATTTCATTCTCTCTCTTTTTTTTAATGTAGACATTATGTCTACGTCGTTGTCTAAAATCTTGGTACAGACGTAGACCAGAAAAACCTTTACCAGCCAAGTAAAAACCAACTTTGTTTTGTTTTTTTCTAAAATGTGGCCCACATTAAATCTGGGCCGCAAACCGCCCACAGTTGTTGCTTTATGTTCAGCCCAAATTTGGTACGTGGAACTCAATAATCATATAAGTCTTCTTTTCTAGCCCTGCGATATCGTGGCCCACATTTCACCGGATGTCGGCTGGGGTTTGTATCGCCTCCTCTTGGAGTCGATGCCTCGATACAAGGAGCTACGATATCGATACATGCAGTGGTGTCAGTGTGGATGAAGTCCTAACGACATCCATCCTCAGGAGGAGCAGAGAATTGAGTATTTTGTTGTGACAGTTAAACCCAGCAGTCACTTCCTCCCCCACTCCATCCCCCACCTCCTCATATGAAGGATTTTGTTTACAAATCCGCTGCCCCAGTTCCCACAAACACCTCTCTGTTCTTAACGGTTTAACCCTCCATTAAGTTCACCAACACACACACACACACACACGAGAACGAACGCACGCACGCGCACACACAGCAGCTTGAGTAATGAAGGTCAGGTGAGCCGGAGGAGTTTGGGTGGAGACAACAGATACAGATTCCACCCACCCTCCTGCGGGAGGACACAAAGACCCAGCCCCAACTTCCCGGCTTACCTCCCCCGCGCTGCTGTTGGCGGTGCTGGCCGAGGATGCTGCACTAGGAGTGGGGGAGCGCTGCAGTGTCACCAGGGCCATGGTCAGAGGAGGAGGAGGAGTGATGGAGAAGCAGGGGATGAAGAGGAGGAAGAGGGGGAGGAGGGTGAGGCGTGGAGACTCGAGTCTCTGTCACCGGGGAGAAAATGCCAAGTCAGACTCTCATCCAGCAGCAGCTCCTGGTTCCGGACTCCTGTCGCTGCTCCCTGTCAGTCCTGCTCCGCGCCCGCGCCTCCTCCTCTGCGGGAGGAGCGGAAGGTCACAGCAGATTCCCTGCGTTTGTACCGAGCATCAGCATCAGCATCAGCAGCAGCATCAGTAAATGAGTCCGGGCTTTCATCGCTGCTGCGCAGACAGACAAACAAAAACAGGGTGCAGGTTGGAAGCGGGGCAGAAATGACACGCTGCTGGAGCCGGCCTTTGATTGGTCGGCGGTGATTGGTCGATCCCTGGTTGGCTGGCCTAGTTCGAATCCGCGTCGTCATTGGGCCAATGTTGTCAAGGTGACGGGCCAGACTAGAAAACCCCAAATACAAATGTTGATGGAATTATATTCTGAGGAAAGAAGGAAAACGGAAACGTAGACAGATTTTCTCCGCAGGAATTTCACCTGAAAAATGAAAAACTACAAATATTAAAAAGTAATTCCTTATGTCGTTCATGTTTTTTTTCGCCCTGATTTTAACCAAACTAAAACACGTTTAAACTCAACTGCCGGATGTCTTTATAAACTGACACGTTTTTATCGATAAAATCAAGAGAAATACCTGTTATCGTCACAGATTTTTCTATGAGAATGTTTAGTGTTTCAAAATAAAAGCTGATTTAAATTAATACAAGATTATTATATTAGTATCTTAATAATAATTAAATGTGATGCCCTGCATGTCACTGTGTGTCACACATTATAGTATAGACCAAGGATGTCAAACATACGGCCCCAGGGCCAAAACCGGCCCACTTGGGGGTCCAATTCGGCCTTCTTGATGAATATTAAAAATAAAAATATAAATAAAATAAAATAAAAATAAAACATAAAAACCTGTAAATAACAACAAGCCAATGGTTTTCATTGTTGTTTTCATGAAAATAAGTTCAAATATATTAAAAAACAAATGTATATTTAATGAAATATTTGACAAAACATCACTAACATGCAGTGGTTTTGGTCCACGGGCCGTATATTTGACACCCCTGAGTTAGACCAGTCAGTTAGCAATGAAGACGTCTTTCAGATTCAACTTTTAAAGAGACTCGTTTTGAGTCAATAAAACAAACAAACAAACAAACAAACAAACCAAAACACAGGTCAAATGTACAGAATTAGAATTTATTATCTTCATTCAAAATAAACCTGCTCTTTGTAAAAATCCCAGAATATATAAATATAAAAAGAAACGTTGTTCCCTGAGAAACAATAAAAAATGTGCAGACTGTTTTTGTAATTCATAGAATATTACAGTTATCCTTGGCTCAAACGTAAAACTGGGATCAAAGACCCTCGCAGCATCAGGGGTCCGGGAGCCACGAGTTCGGTCTCATTCAGACAAGAGAAGGTTTACGCTATAGCTCCTCCTGGTGGTGGGTGTCACTACCTTCTCCTGCCTCCAGGTGGCCAGTGGTCTCCTGCAGACTCCTGCCCAACGTTTCAATAGGTAAGATCAGGGATGCAACGCCAGCCAGGATTGAGCAGCCGCAGTAGAAGGCCAAGGTCCAGTACACTGAGGCTCTGAGCATCACCTGGAACACAGTGGAGACGCGGTGAAACCTCCGAATGATTTAAAATGAAAGTCGGAATAATCTGTAACTGACTTTGTAATATATAACAGTAAAAGTGGAAGTTCCTCTCTGTGTAAGGCAGGTGTGATAACCACTACACTAAGGACCCACAGACCAAATCTCTCCATTTACAGACCAACGCCCTAAGCGATTGCATCATAGTTAGAACTGGTCCGGAAGGTTTCAGGTTCGAGTCCACCAGCTGCCAAGGTACCACTGAGCACGACACCGTCCCTACACACTGCTACCCACTTAAGCTGCCCCCTGCTGACTGTGAAAATAGGGATGTTCCGATATTAGCATATTATGCAATATCTGTAAGAATCGTTATCGCTTTTTTCTCCGAAAATGAAAACCTGATAATTTCATGCCAGCCCCTTAACAGGGACCGCGCCCCAGAACTTTAGTTGGGTATCAGGTCACACTGGATTACCAGGGACCGTCCCAGGCTGGTTATCATTTGTCAGTGGAGATGGAGATGTGTTCGCACCTGTGCCACAAAAGGTGTGATGAGGGCGCCCAGTCTGGCCATGGTGCTAGCCGTACCAATGGCTATGGCTCTGTTTTCGGTAGGAAAAACCTGTAAATTAAAAATAAATAAATAAATAAATAAATCTGATGAAGTCTGACGATGAGGGAAGTGCACGAAGAGCTGCAGCACCTCAGGTGTGTACAGGAAAACAATTTGATATCCTCCGGAGATGAAGGCTCTGGAGATGAAGATGAAGACCGTCAGAGCTGTCCTACGGGAGTAAAAAAAAAACAAAAAAGAGTTTTGAAGTTTTGTTTGCGCTAATTATCTGAGGTATTTGTTGAGAATCGGTTACCTTCCGATGCAGGCGTACAGAGGCAGAAGAAAGAGAGAAAACATGAAGAAACACAGAGCTAAGCTTTTCTTCCTGCCGATGTACTCCACCGCAAAGATAATGACAAGCAGACCTGCAACAGACAAGACCAGCTGCTGGAGTAAAGGTCACAAAGGTCGCAACTGACTCACTGAGTCACACTGTCAGACATAACACACAAAAACTCATTCATTTTTTTGGGCCACCCTTGTGGATCAACACTGTAACAACACGTCACTAATTATCAGTCGTATCATATTAGTATATTTATGTTATATCGGTAAGAATTAAAGATGTCCGATATTAACTTTATCAATCAAACCACTGTATGTGTTTGAGATTAATTAAATAAGCTGCAATGTTGCCATCTAGTGACTCTCACTTATATATACAGCCGTTTATCCCCAAAACTATTTTTAGGACACAAATTATTTGGCGAAACCCAGACATTGCGTTATTGGTGTTTTACATTATTGGCGGAAAAAGCGATAACGATACTTACAGATATTACATAATATGCTAACATATATCGGCCGGCCAATATTATCGCTCATCCTTAGTAAGAATCGTTATTTTCTTTTTCTCTGATAATGAAAACCCGATAACACAATTTCTGGGTTTGCTGCACATATCGATATCGGATGATAATGGCAAAAAGTTAATATTGGAAATCCCTAATTATGAAATACACCTGACTGCAAGTCACCTGGGAATTCAGCCAGCGTTGTCCATAACAGGTCTTTGTAGTCGTCTGTAGTCAAATATTTGCACTCCAGACTACAAATGTGTTCAGCCTTGCTGCCCTGCGTCGCTGGAAACCGAAGGAAAGTTTTATACAAAATGTGAGCAAATGGAGTGAAACAGAAATGAAAGTTAGAAACGAGCTAAAACGTCTTCTCCTCACCTCCACACGAATCTCCAGCTTGGAACATTTCCGTGGTCAACAGGATCACGCCGTAATAGGAAAAAGCATTTGCAAACCTGGAGATGCACGTCATTCAGCGTAATAGTTGGTAAGTAAAGTAAAAAATGTTTAAAGAAAAGAAAAGATTTTTACCTCATAAAAAGTAAAACAGTAAACTGATTTTTATTTTTAGAAATATATTTTTATATTTATGTATTTTTTATATACTGTAATACACTAATATATATATAACATATTAGACACATTAACACAAATATACTGTTTACATACACATAAATATATGTATATGATTATATTATATATATATAAATATATATACATATATAAAATATATATACATATATTTATACACGTGTATATATATATATATATATATAAAATACTGCCCCTGGGGACCGCAGTAGGAAATGAGGTTAGCAGCTAAGCTAATCTTCGGGGCCTATAACGAACATTTTACTCCTTAAAAATATTTTCTTAACATTCTCCTTCATGTGTGACTCAACCAACCTTCGACAAATGGTACCAGGTACCAGGTACCTGTCGCTGTGGTTGTTAGTTTGTTGAACCAATTCACACCCACGGGCGAGGATACATTTGAATTAGTGACAGAATCAACTGAGAAAAAATCCTAAAAACAACACCACTGTAGTCACTAAAATCATTCTAATTTTATCTGAGTCAAGCAGCCACGTCACACACGCTGAACCTGTTGGCCCAGTCCTGGCTATGTGCTAGTTTACCCTGTGCTAGTTAACTATGAAATATGAAACCTTTTTTTTCTTTTTCTTCAGGAGGAGGATGTTTCTTGTTTCTTTCAACTCACCAAATGAACCAGAGCAGAATAGTGGTCATACGGTACTGCGGAGTAAACAGATCGCTGATACGTCCACGCTTGTCCTGTAACAAGGCAACGTTGTCAGTTGTTGACAAATACAAACAAAATGGAAAATTTGAATCATGTGACATCACGGACTATTCATGGGGTAGGAGTGGAATAATCATGGCTAATACTCTTAATTGTGTTTGTGATTAATCATGATTAATTGATAATAATCCATCCATCCATCCAATTTCATCCGCTTATCCGTTACCGGGTCGCGGGGGCAGCAGTCGCCACCCAAATCACACTGCACCGTACCAACCCCCCAAACCTTCCTGCAGGTGGTGAGTCCACTGAAAGGTACCAACTGCCCTAACCGGGATTCGAACTTGTTCCACACCAACGACAGAGACATTGCCTCTGGGCCAAAGTGCCACTAATTGATAATAATAAAAAAGTAAATACTACAAAATCCGACCGTACGTTGCTTGAACAGAAAGACAAATACCTGCGGGGAGATTAACACGTTTCATGTGTGTGTTAATGTGTGGCTAAAGCAAATGATGGGATAATTGTAACGGAAACATGTGCGGACGTATTTGGGCTGTGTGTTGACAGGAAGCTGTTTCACAATACAGAGGTTACGATGCGATATATTGAGATACTCAAGGCACGGCGATATATTGAGTGTTTTTTCTAAACAATTTAAACAGTAGTCCCAGTGTGATCCTAGTCTCAGACTCTGTTCCATCTGAACATCAGGTTACTGACACTAGAACAGAAGGATCTACATTTGGAATCACGAGAGAAGAAGGCGCTCTGGTGAAAGTAAAGGTTTTTCCCCCAGGGTGTGTAAATTACAACATGTTTATTGACTGCGCAGTAGAGCTGATTGGTGGAAACATTCGATACAGAATGCACGTGAAATGCGTTTAAATTTTTGCACTACCGATTATTATTTTAACGATTGAAAACGCCGATATCCTTTCATTCTGATAGGCCAAAAAAAAAAAGCAGTAGGCATCTCCGCACGTGTCATCTCACCTGTTTATGTGCAACTAACTTGCCCTGAGGCAAAACCTTGCCGTTCTGTTTTGCGATGAGGTTCAAGGTTCTCATGGCTTTTCTCCTGTTTCCTGACAGAACGTCGAAGCGAGGACTTTCAGGCAGCCACTGAGAGACACAGAAACAGAGGTTGACGGTTCGACTACTCACGGCACTCATTATCACATGTCACGGTCACTATAGAGTGTACGGTGCATACGTAGCAAAGGCAGAGGAAGAGAGCCATGGGTAAACAGGACAAGGCGAGCAGCCACCTCCAGCCCAGCGTGGGCATTATCCACAATGCCAGGAGAACTTCCATCACGGCACCGAGGGCCCAGAACGCCTGAGACACAGAGACAGATCCATCCAAAGACGGTGAATGAATTAGAGCCTGATGTCACTGTACTGATATCTGAGTTCTGAATTACAGGAAATGGTGTTCTGATAATCGACGTACCCCGGTCAACATGATGCAGATGCCCCGAGCCTTCGCTGGGAGGAATTCAGAGTAGAGCGTCACCCTAATAAAAAGAAGAGAGAGTTTTTTTTCTCACTTTTAATCTGTGAAGGATTCAAACAGAAAAATCTGGCTGCTTAAAACACTTGACCAAAACACTGTCTTAGGTCACATGACTTTATAGACAAAGTTTTGGTTTCTGTATGTTGCTGTCGTGACAAGTTGTGTTGATTGTGTTGTGTTTTTTTTTCTTCCTTTTTTTCCTCTCTTTCTTTCTTCATCCTCAACTTCTTCTGGATTGTAAATGTGTCTTTTACAGTTTCACACTGACTGTAAACAAAGTTTTATTTTATAAATCAAATCTTCTACTGTGCCAGGTGACTGGCAATTAATTAAAATTTAAACAGCTCCTAAATTAATCTATTGATTGTCTCTTGATTATCTAACTGTGTGTTTTACAGTTTTTAAACCTACTGTTAATAAAGTGTAATTTTAAAAATAATTAAAAAAAAATCTTCTTCTCCTCCTCCTCCTAAATTAATCTGTTGATTGTTTCGTGCTTCACAGTTTTTACACCTCCTCTAAACCCAGCTGTTACAACGTTAACTAACCACCAGGGGTGTCATGTAACAAAGTAAAACCTTGTCACATAATACCTGTGGCTACACCCACTGGGTGGAGGCAGCATTACTCTGATCCAACTTTAAAGACAGTTAGTGTGGTTTTAGACTTCTGACTGGTTGATTTGTGACCAGCAGAAAAAGTACTTGAACTTTGACTAAATTAAATTACACTTCAGTACAGAAAGTACTACATATGTTAGGGAACTTTTAACTTGAGCCTGTTGATACAGTATAATTAGTGAATAATATTTGCCTACAGATATAACACGTACTAAGTATCCTTGGAGACCAGAGATAGTACAAAAGGCTGCCGTTAAGTTGACTCTTAAAATCCACTGTAAGGGATTCATGTGCCTTTGCTGTCGGAGAAAAATAAAATAAGAGTTACACCCAAGCTTCAACCTGTAAACAATCTATGTGGGATCAAATATTGTCTTTTATTTCTACTGGCCTCAAACAACAGCATTGTGTGAAAAAAAAAAAAAAAAAGGCATTACATCAAGCAGTGAACTTACGCTTGGGGGGCTCCTCCGATTCCAAATCCTACGAAACCCCTCAGGAACAACAACCAGCCATAGACTGGAGCGAAGGCGCTCAACAGACCGAAGTAAAAAGTCATGCTCATACAGATGATCAAACCCTGTGTGTGTGACGAATATGAGACGTTAAAAAAAAAACAAACAGGCACAAACTCACGGCTTCAGGTCATAAACCAAGGCTACTCACACGTTTTCTGCCATGTTTGTCGGCAAAGTGTCCCCACATAGGTGAACCGAAGCCCATCCCGATGAACACGATCTGACGGAAGAAGAAGAAGAAGACGATAATGGAATGTGAACAACACAAATGTCTGCATGATACAAACAGTGAAGTGTGTGTCAGAAAAATAAAATCGTTTTAATGTGATCACACCCAGAGTAGCAGGGGATTAAATGTAAAAGATTGCGATTAATTGTGATTAATCAGGTTTAGGGATGTCCAAAAATATCGGCCGACTGATATTATCGCACCGATATTAGCATAATTATGTAACATAGTAATAAGGACCCGATAACGCAATGCTTGAGTTTAGCCAAATGATGTGTGCCCTCAAAATAGTTTTGGGGAAAAATGGCTGTATATGAAGGTGAAAGCCACTAGATGGCAGCAATAAATAAATATTAACAAGCACTCAATAGTATTTCAATTGGGGGGAGTGGAGGGGGAGGAAACTATTATTATTAATATGGAAAAATGTAGAAGTGGAACTCAAAATTTAGCTTCACAGAGTTGGTGGATTTTTTAAAATTCTGTTCTCATATACTGTTTTTTTTTTTAACCAGTCATATTTTCAGCCATCACATGTTGCCAGGGTCACAGTAATCTGCCTCAAAACCCTCAGAAGCCGCACTAAAACCGAACAGCATTGACACCAGACTCAGACAAGTTACCGATGTTATCAGAGCCATCTGGTAGCTGGGCAGCCTCCAATCACAGAGCAGCTGAGGTCCCAGGATGCTGAGGATCATCATCTCCATGGCGTCTGCGAGCTGCATTTGAAAATATCACTCAAATATCTGACAAACAGAGTCATGTGACCCCCCCCCATACTGCTTTATGACATCATACCCATGACAATCCAGAGAGCGCGGAGATCTTCCACTGGAAGACACCGAAACCAGTGGCCTCCAGAGCATCTTCCACTGTGAATGTGCCTGTGGGAACATTCCTGACTGTCAGTGCACATGTAAATAAACTGAACAAACAATTAGGGGGTGGAGTGCACGTTATAAATAACCTTAATTAATTAACCATAACACAAAGGTTATTGAGTTGAACTTTCCATTTTTTTGGTCAGAGTGACATAGAATGAATAACTAAATCAACACTTTGACTAGTTAAACTGATAACAAAAGACACTCAGTGTTGAATATTACAGCAAAGTGGTGACACACAGGGTAAATGAAATGTGTTTTAAATTTTCTGTTTCAAATTCTACGTATGATACTAAAATAGAATTTTGTAAACAAAGATTATTCACGACAGAGCCTTAGTTTAGCTGCGGAATAATACCAATTCTCCTACTTCATCAGTGTTATATATATATATATATATATATATATATATAAAACGTAAAGAACGCGTCTGTCTTTGTTTACCTCCAGGTACAGGAGCTGCCGATGGTAGCGCTGCGTTTTTGGCACCCAATGAGGAAATGGTGCAAATCTCCGAGTCTGTACCTTGAGACTCATCACTGTGACCTGTAAACTGCTGCGGCTCCCTGTACAGTGGAGAGACGGTGAGTGACGTCAGCAGACACCGTGTCACTTTGTTGATTGCTGCCAACAAAGTGACAGCCAAGAATTACAAAAATACTTTTTTTTATACCGTTGTTCATAGTCGGTCCACCGTCTGTAGCTAAATGTAGCCTGATTAGCGAAACGGTCCATTTCAGCGTCACCGCTGGGAGAGCATGGTTCACCTGACAACTCCCTGTCCCTGTGCTTCAGGTCAAACAAATGAAAAGAAAAAGAGTAAGAGTCCAACCCACCAAACCTGCTCTGAGGATTCACGTGACAAATCAGGAAAACAATACCAGACCAAAGAGGCGGAGAGGCACACGGCACAGGAGAATATCCAACATGTCTTTATGTACAGAGCTTAACTTTGCCTGGAAGAAAGAACAAATTAACGTATTTGTTGTCAATCAGGTATAACGCTGATAATTTAAATAATATTTGATGCAACAAATTCATTGGTTAGTACCCGGACGTGGAATTAAAACAAACGCACACAGGATAGAACAAAACAGAGCAAAACCAAAAAATTTGGTAAAAAAAACCCAAACAAAAAACAAACAAAACAGGACAGGTATCTGTACTATATGTAATTTATTTTTACTTTAATTGGATGTGTTTTTTGCGTTTGGAGAATCTTTGCCCCAAAAATAAAAAAGAAATTTAAAGAAAAAAATATATTTGTGTTTCTTTTTTATATTCCGCCATGAAAACATAACTGCTGCTCTGTTAAAAACATATAAAAAAGAAACACTTACAGTTCAATTGATTAAACAACTCCTAGAAGGAAATTATATCAAAATAAAATTTCTTTGTATGCGGTATTGTGTGTTTGATGTGGCTTTATGTAAAATGTAAATGTTTGTCAGATTACGATGATTTAAGACCTCACCTGAACTCACTTGTGTGACCTGTGTGTTTAAATGACGTCCAGGAAACAGGATATTCGTGTTTGTCTGACTGTCAGACAGATACTGTCGAGCTGACACGGTCCAGACAGCACTGTTGGCTTAAGCATTTACTTTTGAAATTAAGTGGAACTTGCGCTCCTATTGTCACAGTCTACTTCCGGATTACGTAGTTCGAACCGGAAGTAGCGGGAGCAGCATAAACTAGCATTTTTGCTACTTTCAGTCAAAATGGTCTCAAAAAGCTCCTAAAAAAGGTAACACTATGAACACAAAGGGACTGCAACATTTTTAACCATCCGTAAAAATCACGCAAATTTCTCAAAGTAAAGTGATGTTGCGATAAATAACTCAGTTAAATAACTAAGTCTGTAACTTACAAAACCTCTGAAACTCGCTCAAATAGCTATAAAATGACTTGTTATATAAATAAATAAATTGAATTATACAGTTAATAAATAGATACATGTAATACAAATGTATATATTAAGCATTATTTTATGCAAAGTAAATATATAGATATTTTAGGGCAATACTGGAGAAAAAACTACAAACTGAAACAGACAATGGTCAAACTTTGAATAGAAAGTGACGGCGCCATCTGCTGGTCTTTGACGTAATGACGTCACAGCAAAACCCAGAAATGACAGTGAAGTCAAACAGAGATGATGGCATGACATCGTTCCTTCCCACTCATATTCTTACTAAAAAAGCACATGAAATTTAAAATCTGAAAATAATGTAAATAAATAAAGAGACCTAAATATAAAAATTACACCAATTTGACCTTCCGATAACAGTAGATACTGGTATAGACCTGGTAATATTTATTTATTTATCTGTACAAACTACACTGAGTATGAGATTAATTGAATGAGCTGCAATGCTGCCATCTAGTGACTTTCAATAGAAACTGAATTTCACTCGTTTATCCCCAAAAATGTTTTTAGGTCACACGTCATTTGTCGAAATCCAGGCATTGCATTATCAGGTTTTCATTATCGGAGGAAAAAAACAATAACGATTCTTACAGATATTATATAATATGCTAATACCGAATCGATATTTTACTTTTAGTAGCAAAGTCAAATGATATATTTTAAAAAAGAGGATATTTTAACACTTAGACCACATTACAAATGCAATAAAACTTTACAGAACTGTTAGCAGTGTTTCAACTTCTCTGTCTGAACACTCTTCAGTGAATAAGGTCAACCTGAAAATAAAGCAAGTAGGACGCAGTGAGGACATGCTGAGGTTGCTACATTACAGCACTGTCATAAATACAGTCCAGGTAAAAAAAAAAAAAAACACACACACTCACTGTCCTCACATCCTCTGGTCACATCAACTGCTGGGACCACACTGAGAAGATGGACTCAGAGGTAAGATATCCACATTTTTAAACTGACATACGGCTACATCATTTTATCTAACCTTCATTTTACAAGTCGATGAATGCAGAGTTTGTCTTTAAAAGCATCTCTTCAGATGAAAACTCGCTCAGGCCTGGAGTTCAGTTCTGATTCCTGCCACAGTAAACTGTCTGCTCACATGAATAAAGGATTAGTTTAGATGTTGGGTGTTTTACACTAAACAAGCCTTGTGAATATTCATGTGGACAATGAGCTCCTAAATGTGGTATTAAATGTGTATAAAGTAGAATAAGATAACATTACCTTATTTGATGCTATATTTGTTTTTGCCTGTACGGCTGCCGAACCAAAGCCTAACCTTCATCGACTGTAGTGTTGAACAGGTATTTTCCTAACTAGTTTTTACCTATTTATCGACAACGTGAATTTGTTTTCAGCACTAATCAGTTGCTAAAACTGCAATGTGGAAAAACAGCTATGCTAGCTACACATATTGAAGAGAACATTTTGGTAATTTCTATGTTTTTTTTTCTTCACTTTATCCATTAGTTTAGTTATTCATCAGTTCGGGCTAACTTTGGCCAACTATTTCAAACAGATGTTATCTTTTGTTAAACCTTTGGCCTTTGTGGAAACACTTTTAAGCCATTTTAGTTCCTTCAAAAATAATGAAAACCTATTTTGTGCAAACATTTGTTAAAAGTTATTTATGATGTATAAATATCAACTCATTTGAACTAGCATAGCTAACGCTACGTTAGCTTCATTAAAAACAGATTTCTAGTTAGTTCAAGCAACTTTCTTTTAGATCATTATCAGTGGAGTTGTAGCTTTAAGCTAACCAAAATTTCACTGATGTTTTTGGTACTTTTTATATTCTGACACTTAAATCCATACATTATATACATTAAATTATGCTAATAAAGCTAAGTTGCATGTTTTGCTCTGAGGTTTAGCAAATATTAGCTATATTTACTACAGTGTCATTTAAAATTCCTGTGAATGGATTTTCAAAGACATATTCAGACATTTGACAGTATTTTGATCTTTGCTCTTAGTAATTTCTTACCGACAAATTCACATGAATCAAGTCTCGTTAATAGACCTGATGCTAAAAGTGCTTTTTAAGGGTTAAATTGTCATTTAATAGCGGAACATTATGTCAGTGTGTGTGTGTGTGTGTGAGAGCTTCAGGTTTGATCTGAGATCAGTTCTTCTTAGAAGGTGGAGCAGATCCTGAAAAGAAACCACTATTTACATAATGGATTAGTTTATGTTAATCCTGTTTTTCCTTCAGCTTCATCTTCGGCCGCTGCATGTTTTGACTGATGTCCAGTCGGTAACGTTAGACGCCCGCGTGGAAGCCAACAGGAAGCACGGTGTTAAAATTTAAACAGACGGAACTTGATGGTAATGTTATGTCACTGATGCTCTGGACCACAACATGTGACCCACATTGGACGCCGGCGCAAATAATTATAATTATAGATAGACACCATAACCATAATTATTTTAATATTTTTTAGGGACTCTAGGGATTTTAATATGTCAAATTTTGTCTCCATTTTTGTCCCAGAGCCAGAATATTTGACATAACTTCCATAGTAATTGATAAAATTTAAATTGTTTAGTGACATTAACTGTCACTAAACAATTTTCAAAACATCAGTAGGTCATGAAAAGTAAGTCTTCATTTTATCCACAATTAGCCTTTAAAAGGACAACAGGTTTAAGTGTCTTTGTTAAAAGTACTGTAACTTCACATAATGTAACAAAAACATGTTTTTGTTTCTGTTGTTTGGAGGAAGAATCATTTATTAAAGAGTCACAAGATTTTTTTATTTAAAAATAAAAGGCTAATTATGTCAAAATGATCACAAGAGCAGAAGAAACTGTTTCAAAAAAGCTAATGCTAGCTTTAGCTGCTACTGCTCATAACTTATGTTGTTTATGGGTGAGAGAGGGAGAAAAAGAGAGAGGCAGGGGTATAGAGGGTCAATTAAATTCATTTAAATTTTAGTGTTTTTTTTTAATTTGTACTGAAGTGGGGAAAAAAAGTCACAGTTTTGTTATAGTATTTCAGTTTTCTGTGAGAATCTCAGTTTTTAGCAGTGACAGTTTTGAACGGGGTTCAGGGGAGGTTTGAATTCATTCATTGGCGTAAATGAAATTTGTTTTTTAGGAACTCGGGGAGGTTTGACTCCTGAGGCTGAGCCATGTTTTTTTTTTTTAGAATAAAGTATTCGGAGTAAGTCAGTACAATACTACAGTGATGTACGTATCTGTATGTGTACCAGTGTGTGTGTGTGTGTGTGTAATTATTGTGTGATTGATTGACTGATCCGTGTTGCTCTGATGAGCAGCCAGTAATTAGACTGAAACGCATCGGTCTAATCAAAGATCAGTAATCCAATACCTGGGCAGTCATTTTGTGCT